AGGGGGTTGGAGGAGGGCTGGGGGAGTGGAGGAGAGTTGGGGGGACTGGGGGAGCAGGGGAGGTCGGTGGGGCTAGTAGGGGTCCCCGCATGGTCCCCTTCCTCCTCCCTCAGCCCCCTTCGCCATCCCTAGTACTTACTAGTTCAGAGTCAGCTGCAGCTCACAAATCATCAAATCTTTCCAAATCTTTTCTGAAGATTCAGAGAGCTTTGAATCGATTTGGACCTTTAGACTTGGCCGACTTTTGATCGTATACTGACAACATTTTATTGAAGCAGGGCATTAGCTGCTGTGGTTCCCCTGCCTTACCTGTGGCAGGTTAGGGTGTTAGGTCTGTGTTGTGTCAGAGTTGATGGTAGTCTTATGTAGATTATGGTTGTTTAGATTATGGTTGTATGGGATGGTTTGGATAGGGATGATTCTGCCTCAAGCACAGGGTTGGACTGGATGACCTCTGGAAGTCCCTTCCAGCCTGATTTCTTTATGGCTGTATGAATGCATTTAATCACCTCAGCCATGGACACTGGTCAGCAGGCCAAACGAGCCCAGGCCTGATTCAGGTTCACAGATTACAGAGTTTTGCAGACAGCTTATGATAGTCAGCTGCATCATGTGCAGAATTTGGAGTTGGACCTTGGCCAGAGCTCCAGAGCCAAGCTCCATGCAATGTGTATTGATGGTTCTGATGGGTTTCAGTGCCCAGAACTGATTGCTGATTATTCCTGGTTAGCTAATCTTGACCAGGGTTGAGGCCCTGATGCACTCGATGCTAAACAGATGCATCCATCATAATAAGCAGTCCTTGTGACAGAGAAGTTGCTGGCTTATTAGAAAAGCCAGTTCCCACTTCTAAGAGTTGACTGGAAAAACTAGAACCCACCCATTTAAACATGGCGCTCAATAATGAGGACTCGGTAATGTGGCAACCCTAGAGAGGGAAATCTTTTTTGGTCTACTCAACAGGTAAGTGCAGCACAGCATGGGAGATCTCCATGGGCTGCCCCACTCTTACTCTAACATGACCAGTGGCATAGATAAGCTTCAGCAGAGGTAGGGCAAAATCTTTAGGTACCCCCTCCAATAAGTGGAGCACCCTGCAAAAGCTCCCCTGATGCAAGGTATACACTCTGTCCCGGGGAGTGTGCCCTGTGAGAAGCATCTACCTTGCATAGGTCACAAAAATCAGTCTCTTTGGCAGCCACTAAGCAAATAGTGGCCTGGGGCAATTGCTCCACATGTCCCCCCTTATCTATATCTCTGACTAGCACCCCCTTTGAAGGGCAAAAAAGAATGGCAGTTTCCAGACCTTTGTCATCTTGTCCCCTTGACTAGCACAGTCCAGGAGGATGACAACCAGAGCCCACTATGGTGGTAGTTTTCATGGTGTGGACTCATGGTGCGCTGGGATGAGACACATATACTCCCACCCCCGCAGATTACTACTGGCCAGTGCTGAACTTGCTGTTCAGGCTTGATTAGCCAAGTGCAGGCTTTATGCTGCCTTCTACATGCATGTGGCTCCCACCTTCTTTCCATGAGGCATGGGGAGCGGCCAGGTGCTCTTATCCTTACATCACCCATGTGAAGTAGGAAGTCTCCATTTAATGAATCAAAAAGAGCAGTATGCACTTCCTCAAGGTCCCTCAGGAAGTCTGGACAGAATTGGAATTTAACTCACATTGCTCAGGGCCCAGACTAGCACTGCAACCACTGGAGTTTCCTTCCCTTCTGCTTACTCATTTCTACTCTCACCACGTTTCTGGTAGTGATGCTAGTAATTCAGGAGTGTATGTGCATGTGAAAGAAAATAAACTGGTTAATGGTCACAGCTCACCTTGCACCTATCTCTTCCCTACAGATATTCAAGTACATTAGCTTTAACAAAACGATGACCCAGCTTTCCTCCACACTGGCCCGCTGTGCCAAGGATATCCTGGGCTTTGCCATCATGTTCTTTATTGTGTTCTTTGCCTATGCACAGCTGGGCTACCTGCTCTTTGGGACCCAAGTGGAGAACTTTAGCACCTTTGTTAAATGCATGTAAGTGTTTTTTTTTCCTGTCTCCTCTTTCTCCTGCATCTATTATTCTCTTCCTTCATTCTCCTTCTCAGACTTGAAGTTTCCATTTTTCCTTGCAAATTGAGTAGGTATAAGTGGGCAGCATCCTGTAAGCTGATTTGTTCCTGAATTTAATGAGAACTGTTCACTTTAATGACCCACAGAAATCACTGCTGTGTTTTATACTGTATGAGGATGTGAAAGGGACATAGAGTCCATGCCTTCGTGTTGCGTTACATTCCAGCAACAGCTAGCTTGGAATCGAGAATGCCGCTTCCTTTCTAAGTTAGTGTACAAGGCAAACCAGGGTGGTGCTTTAGAGCAACTCATTCAGAAAGGCATAAGCTTTTGTAAACCACAGCCTACTTTGTTGCATGCTATGAATGGGCTTGCTGAGAGCAGGGGTACTAAATAGAAAGGAATAAAGTATTTTAAATTGAAAGGATAGGGAAAAGGGCGATGGGAGTGGGACTGGAAGAGGGCTCTGGTGAGAGAGCCAAATGTGAGCTGAAGAACTCAAAAGGGATAAGCAAACCAGTTAACCCACTGGGGGACATAAGGGTTATAAAAGCTAATGGGATAAGAATTGTTCTCTCAGCAGAGACTCTGAATTAACACAGTCCAGTCTGTGGATGATTTCTTGTTGCATAATTTTGCATTCAAATCAGTTTTAACAGTTTTGTTGCTCTGAGGTCAGTGATCAAATGTCCAGGGAGGTTAAAGGCTTATGTATCTTTCCAGAATGGATGTCAAATGGGTGTCCACTCATTTTTTTTCAGGTGAGGGTTGCTCCATCTGTCTAGTGCAGACAGCAGGGGGCACTGTAAGCAGATATTGTGAAAGAAGCAGGTGATTGAACCCTGGATGTCAAAATCCTTTTTGTTTGGTCTAGTGATGATGTGGTCTCTGTCAATGTGGGGACACAGCTGTCATCTAGGTCCAGAGCAAGGCCTGGTGCCTTGATGAGAATACGAGTTAGGTAGTCTATTGCTAGCTAGATGCCATTTGTGGTTGAGGGGCTACTTGTAAGCTAGAATAGGCTTGTCCCCCAAGGCTGCCTTGAGACGGTCATCATTTTCCAGTGGTTAGAAGTCATTAGTGATGTGGCTGTAGGTGACAACCAAAGGTGTTTTGTTATTCTTGTCCCAGGACCAGTATTGTAGTAGGCTGGAGTTGGGTCTGAATCTGGCTTTGTTGATACGAGTGGCTACAGTTTGGGGATTGTATTGTAAGTGTAGGAAGCCCTGCTCCAGAGCCTTAAGGTATGCAGCCCAGCTGGTAGAATCAGAGCAGATATCTTTTGCAAAAATGTATGCCTTTCTGAACTAGTTATTCCAGGGTGCCACTTTGCCCTGCTTTCTGCCTGACTTCAGGCTAACATGTCTAATTACTTATTTCTAAGTTACTGCAAATTAAGCCCTCAGGTGCCAAATCCAGCTCCCAATTACAATTGAACAATATGTTTATAGGCAAAAGGAAACAAGAAGACAATAGGGCTGTGCAGTGGAAAAAGAGGAGTGGATTTGGCTTGCATGGTCTTTATTGCTAGTAATGTGTTAACAAACAGGTGAATGTTCAGGTTCTAGCTTTCATTTGTAGGGCTGTGTAGACTTCTCATGGCCAGATTAATCGGTCTCCTCCATATTTCCCAAGAGCAGTCAGCTAGAAGAATGGTCACTCAGTGAGATGGGGATGCCCATGCCCATGGGCTGGAAATTATCTCAGTACTGTTCACTCATTTTACACAACGGATATTAAATAGAAGATGCAAAAAACCAGTAGAATCAGGAACTAGTGCAGCATCCAGATCACTGAGGCACACACTGACTCCCAAGTGCAAATATAGGAATCTGGTCTGGACTGTATCTTAGCTGATATACAAAATCTATGATTCAAGGTCTATAGCTCAAGCATACCTTGACTACTGACAATTATACCCTTCTGACCACAGAAGGTTGGAGCTAGAGGCACAAGAACCCTATGTTTACCAAGGCAGAAATTGTCAAAGTTATCCAGGGAAAGCAAAGGGAAGCACATGTCATAACCTGTTAGTTGGCTTGAAAATTGCAATACTGTGTTTTAAGACTTTGTCCATTTATTAAAAAGCACAGCTCAGACTGATTTCAAATAAAGATGCTAGATTTGGCAGCTAATATATTGACTGAACAAACTGTTTGCTCAACCCTTGTAAAATATGCTAGATGAGTCTCTTGCCACAAACTAAAGGCAACATGGGCATGGACTTACAATGTGATCAGCATATCATGGAACTAGCCCAGGTTATGACATTTCCTAAGGTCAGTTCTCAACAAATGAACAAACATTGTAAAACACATGAATAATACCTGCATCTCCCTATTGTCAGCAAACACCTGCCCACTGCTGACATTGTGTTCTTTCTACTTCCCAGCTTTACCCAGTTTCGAATCATTCTTGGTGACTTTGACTACAATGCCATTGACAATGCCAACAGAGTCCTGGGACCTGTTTACTTTGTTACCTACGTGTTCTTTGTTTTCTTTGTGCTGCTGGTAAGCAAAAATGGTTCCTTCCTATTGTTTAGATGACAGTTTAAGGGCTCTTAGAGCCTTTGTGCATTGTATGCACACACAGCGAGAGATTCTCCAACTATAACATCTTTATAACATAAAAATGCATAGCAGGAAAGGGCATACAATTGCAAAAAGGAATGGGAGCCCCAGACAGATTAAGTGGCTTGTCCAAAGTCACACAGGAAATCAGTGGCAGAGCTTTGAACTCACAGGCCTGGTCCTAATCCAGTGCATTGAGTACAAACCCGTTTTTCCTCTCTGGAAAGAATGGTGCTGGTCTGAGTGCCCTGTCCCCTTCCCCTCTGTGTTTGCCGAGGGGTTTTCCAAGCCCAGATAGGCAGGCTGGGAACAGGCCCCCTGTTTATTTGATCCCTGTCAAGGGCAGTGTTGGGGCTCACCTAGTAGTATGGCTGTGCAACCTGTTTCTGCCTGCTTCCCCCTTTAGTCTCTACTGGGGAAGCCAGATAACTCCATGCGCTTCCTCTCTTCTCTTTTAGAACATGTTCCTGGCCATCATCAATGACACCTACTCTGAAGTCAAAGAGGAGCTCTCAAACCAGAAAAATGAGTTGCAGATCTCGGACATCTTGAAACAGGTTATATAGAGAGCCCTGTTATACTCGGGTCCAGGGGCAGATCCAGGATCTTTCTGGGGAAGAGGAGGAGAGAAAAATTGTTACTTCCTTTAAGGGCTTAAAAAAAAGTCCCCAGAGGCTCCTGTGGTGCAGTGCAATCCAAAAGGGGGGTGCAGCTGCCTCACTGCACCTGCTCTGGATCTGCCCCTGCTCAAGCCTTGCTCATTTTAAAATTGTCACAGACACTGTCATAGTTCCCTAATTCACCCACAAATTATGAGGGATGCATCTGGATCCAAGCTCCAGCTCAACCCCCTCCCCACTATGCTGGGCAGCAAGAGAAGTTTTGAATCTGGATCCCACTATTGCCAAGCCTTACCCATAACACCACTCTGAATGTTTAGTCATTGAGATCTGGCTGTGAACTTTGTAGCTTGAATCTGCCCATATCCTTATCCCTGCTCCCTGCCCTTCCAGACTTCCAGTCATCTGCAGCACCCCTTACCAGTGTTGATCTTTCACAATGCACTCAGTGCCAAGACCAAAGTCCATAACACGTGTTTGTTATGCATGAAAAAGTATTTAATAATGGAAGAACCCAAGAACCAGGAAATAAGGGGATGGAGGAAGCTTGTTCCTCAAATAGGTGCAGGCATGAGTACATTAAAACCACCTTCCCTCTAGTGGCAGGCTGTGGACAGTGCACCACTGCAAAGTGCCCTCTGATCAAATTCTGCCGATCAGGTTTTTCCATGCATAGGTGTGTAACTGGGCTTAGGCTTCCAAGTGTGTTTCTATTTCATGCTGCCTGAGATCCTAAAAACAGTTAATGGAAAAGGTGGGTGGGTGTTCCTCATCACTGCTTTTCTGGGACTCAATTTTAAGCATTTGTAGTGGGTGTTTGACAAAAGCAGATGAATTAATGAGTTTTTAAGGTTTTTAAAGGGGTAGAATAAGACTGCACTTAGGTTCCTAGGTCCGCAACTCTGAATAGGTAGAATAGAAATTAGTACCACTGTGCAAGGAACCCCAGGATAGCTGCATGCCTGTCTGTGCCCCTGCTCCTTCCATAATTTACATTGGTGTCTGTCTATGCCTGCGACTGCCACCCAGTGGCGGGTACAGTTCTGTATCTCTTCTAGCTGAGCCAAACAGCACTGAAATTAAGCAGGGATCACTCTTTATAGCCCTGTGTTTAACATGTTCCTGATATTAAAAGGGAGTTAGATCCATAAAGAAATGTACCTGGCTTTGGTAAAGCTAAAGTACATTGTGTTTCACTGCCAGCTGTGCTTTGCTTCTGCATGTCTTGCACACACAGCTCTATGTTTTTTGCATCTTTAATCCCAGGGCTATAACAAGACACTGATGAGGCTGAAGTTGAAGAAAGAGCGTATTTCTGATGTGCAGAAAGCTCTACAGAATGGAACGAAGGAACTAGAGTTTGAGGATTTTAAGAATAGCTTGAAAGAGTAAGTGGACCAGCTTGAAAACAGCCCTGTTTTCGCATAAGGATGCTTCTTTTTTTCTTGAGATGTACCTACACTGAAGCAAGATGGTCATGCTGCTGAGGGAATAAGCCCCACCCAACCCATTCTGCTCTGTGCAGGTCACCTCCAAAAATGAGGTAGCGAGGGTCGTGCCCTAAGAATCCCCCCAAGCCACTGAAGCATGCAGAAAACCCAGGACACAAGCACAGTGCCAAGTCATGAGCACAGAGCACAATGCCCATTATAACATTTTCCTGACCTCATTTCCAGGATTGATGTACATGGAGTGGGAAAGTGGGCACAGCTTATTTTGTCAGGGAGGACAAAGCATGCTGCAATGGAGTACACATCTCTTCGGAGAACCACCAAGCCCTCCTCACATTTCTGCTGCAGGTCTTAGTTCTGCCCAAAGCATTCACACCTTCCATTGACTTTGGGATCATCACGGCTGCGATCCATGATAAGATTGCAGCCCATCTGGTCATGCCCCAGCTAGCTTGCTTCTAGCTGGCTTGGGTACCAGTAGCAGCAAATGAATGGGAATTTGAGCTCACCTGGAGGTCTGCATACTTCTCAGGTGGCTGAATCATGTTGAAATCAGTGATGCCACATCAATAATTCTATTGGCACTTGAGCAAACTAAATTGAACCTGGTTCAAATCTATCTAGTCAGGCTGCAGTTGCATCTCCAGTTGCATTATGGACGTACACTTTGTATTACACTCTGTTAGGTCTTATGGGGTCTTCCTTTCTCATTTAAGGAATTGTGGTTCATCTGATATAAATCACCGTAGCTATGCTGTGACCAGTGGAGTCACTCTGTTTCATACCAGCTGAGAGTCCAGTCCTAAAATTTGGGTAGTTCAGCACAATGTAGCTAGACATGTCCCTTCTTCCAGAGATGAGGAGTATCCTCTAGTGTATGCAGCCACCTCTGCTCTGTACCTGTTAAGGAGTCTCCCTACTGGGATGACTGGCAGGTCAGGGAAGAAGCAGCTGTCTTGCCACTCCTAGTTTGTGTTTTGTTTCAGCTGCAGGATGCCAGAGAATGAGTCATAGTTTCCTCCTCTCATAAAATGTTTGTTCCTTTTTCCTCTGCTGTTTTCCTCAGTCTGATATAAACATTTAACTAAGAGCTAGTTATTGTCTGTCTTGTGTATGGGACCCATAACACCCAATGTTTGATGGCACATCTACCCCAACTCATTTGGTTCCCAACCAGAGTAGTGTCTAGTTCCAAGTGCCTGGGTCAGTTTTCAGGGCTCTCCAGGAGGATTATCTCCACTCTACGTGCTCACACTTCTATCCACTTAATCCACTGCTACCACCCTGTTTAGCTCTTGCCACATTTACTTCCTTTAATTAACGTAGACTAGTGTAATTAATTTAGATTTCAAGATCTTTGGGGTGGCAGCCTGTTACTTGTTGTCATGGAGTTCCCCCCCACCTTCCCTCCGGGCGGGGGGGCACTTGTATTGGACCACTGCAGCCTTGTCTGATCTTAGAGAGTGGTTCTCTGATGCCAGCCCTGGTGTGGCTTCCAGAGCAGGGGGGAGCCCTGGCTTCTTCCCACTCTGAGACCCAGCCCTTTTGGTCCCTTACCCTCCATGTCCATGGCCCAGACCCAAGGAGCTATCATCCAGTCCCACTCCCATGAGAGGGCCCTTATCTCTTGGTGGGAAGAATAAGTTCAACACAAAGTTCCAAGCAATGAAACAACTCTTCTTTGATAAAAGCATTTATTAGGGCCAAGGCCATGCAGCCAGGTGTTTTCTGGCCCCCTTCAACGGTTGAGCAGCCCCTCTGTCCCCAGTCCAGCCTGGACAAGCCTGAGCACCCCAGAGTTACTCAGCTGTTCCCTTTCCAATCTGTCTGGCTCCTTCCAAGCCCCGAAGCTGCCCCTGCTCCCATTCTCCAGGTTTTCTCTTTCAGGGAGCACCCTGTTTGTCCCTCGCTGCTGTGCTAGTTGTCGCATTTATTTACCTCTCTCCCTTGGAAGCTGCCTGGATGTCACTTCCAATCCCACCTTTGTTGACTTGACAACAAAGCTATTCAAGCCCCTATTGATGCTAGAGGTCCACATTATGGAGACAGGTAGGCAGATCTCTTAACAGCAGGGGCTCAATTAACTCTTCTGTCCTTATGTACAAGCTAATTTACTCCACTAAGGTAGGCAACATTATAAAAACATGAACACATTTAAAACAGAAATTTAGTCCATCCCATGTGTAAAACCACTAACACATTTCTTAGTCCCATAAAATTTGAAACCAGTAATTCCAACCTTTCAAGCTCTTCCCTTCCCCCTCTGTTCACACTTGTAGTGAAGCATGATTGTGTTACCAACTCATTCATGTTTGGGTGATCTGGGATTTTTGGTCCTGACCCAAAGCTACCCTCAAGGCACCACTTTTACCCAAACACTTTTATTAAATTAGATTCCGATCACCTACTTAAATGTGATGGCTTCTGTCTCCTCAGACGTTGTGTTTTCCCTCTTACTCTAGGCTGGGTCACGCCGAACATGAGATCACAGCAGCTTTTTCCAGATTTGACAAGGATGGCAACCAGATCCTTGATGAAGAAGAGCAGAAGCGAATGAGGCGGGACTTAGAGGAGAAAAGGGTAAAGGAGGAGTGAATGGGGCTAGAATGGGAATGCTCTATAATTCCTTGGGTCCAGATATAGAGCGGGGGTGTGGGCAAAGTGAGTGCTGTGTCACCATCTCTGCAAGCACAGCAGCTGTAGATGAGTTTATGAGGACCTGTGAATTCAAGTGTTTCTGTTCAAGGCTATACAGCAAATCTCCAAGTGAAGCCTTGAGAGCGCTAAGATCCAACCTTCCAGGTGTCTTTGCTTTGTCTTCCAGGTTGCTTTGAATACAGAGATTGAAAACTTGGGGAAATCCTATGGGGGAAACAACTTGGATGAGAACCTCACTGTTGCAGAGGCAAAGAATAATCACACCAACAAGTCCAACTGGGTCTCTGAGGAGGAATTCCAAATGTGCGTCATTGCTGATAGTAGTCTGGAGTCACTAATAAAGCCATTCCTGGTGTCCACCCCCTTGTTGCTCTGGTTGAAAGCAAATTTGAAACTCACCACTGTGATCTGTCCCTTCCAGATCCTTCCTCATGAGTGCATAAAGGGACAAGGCAGTATAGAGGCAGGCCCCTTTTACCACATATTTTACTTTTTCTTGAAAAGACTGTCTGGGAAATTATAAATTGTGCATCTGGCATCATCTCTCTTCAGCTGTCTCTTCTGGTAATGCAGCCTGCTCCAGATCAGGTCAAAGGTTGAAATGGGCACACAAGGCCACTGGAAGCGGGCACGTTGCAGAAGAGTCCCTATAGGAGCTACCCTGATTTATGTCAGCTGCACGATTTTCCCTTACACCTTGAGTTTGAGCACGAGGACAATTAAGCTGTTTCTTTCAAACAGGGAGTGGAAGTCAGAGCTTAAAACATAGAATGGGACATCAGAGCAAGACAGCTAAGGCCATATTGAAAGGCAGCTGGAGGGACCCTAAGAAGCAAGACAAGTTGGGAGCCTGACCTATACTAGGTGCTAACAGGCTGAGAATATAGTTTGGCTATATTCATATTAGTGGTCAGCAGGGATCCAGGTTTTCGGTTTGCTGTGGGAAAATGTAGATTTTCCTTTTTAAAGGAGAAAACTGCAGGAAATGATGGGTTTCCCCTTGCAGGCTGGTAGCCTGCCAGCCTTCAAGGTGCTGCTTGGGACTTGGGGGAGCAGGAGGAGTGTGATTAGAAGCAGAGGGCACCCTGTGCATGGCTGGCATGCAGCCCCGGCAGCTGCATGCATGTAAGCCTAGGTTGGGTAGAGGTTGGAGGGACAGAGCTTGGGGACTATCCAGGGGCCTGTGGAGCATGTGGGGGGGGGCAGGGGTGTGTGGAGGGAATTGGTGTGTGAGTGGGGGCAGGTGCTTGCTGGGGGAAGGTGTCTGCGCACTGGGGATGCAGTGGGGGGG